ATTTGCATTCACCATATTGCAACCACAACAGTACTTATTTCAGAAACTGGGTTCAGGGCAGGAAATGAAGACTGGAAATAATAGAGTTGAAAATTCAATATGTCTTTGGTTCACTGCTCTCTTTTTAGTCCAAGTGTCATGGTGCCAGAATTTCCTTTTAGCGAAACTACAATGCTGTACTGTTCTGCTTCGGAAGTCCACCACAGTATCATGACGGTGAGTCTACACAGGGTTACCTTTTCATATTGCTATAAACATTCACAAATAGTTTACTATTTCACATGTCCATACATCGTACATAAGGTACATTATTCTACATGATGTATGAATTACATTTCAATCATTCATTCTTCAATAACCGTACCAAATAAAAGCACATTTCATTATATAAACTCTACTTCCTGACTTCTAGCTTTGAAGTCAACGTGGCATAGGGCGAGGATAAATGAAGTAACGCTTCTTCCTAAGTGGTCCTCTCCATAATATTGTGCATTTAATGCCCAAGATGCCATGTTTGTACAGCTGACATCATCAGTGTGTAAAGTATGACACTAGCGGGCGCTAAAGGTTTTGTTTTCACTGGTGATACAAAAACAGCCTACTTTAAACTTTGATGCATTTATATATGTATGTTTTGCATGATTTGACCTTCTTTCTCAAATCTCTAATCTTACCTAACATAGCAGTTTGGGATTTATGCCACACAAAAAGCTCTGCATGCGTGCAGATGGGATTAAGATGGAAATCTTTCCATAGTTTGCTTCTGTATTTGGAGAATGTGCTTTCATCTGATGTTTGATTTTCTAGAAAAGTTAAGATGGACAGCCAGGATTTCACTTATGCCACTGAACTGACATGACCCAAGTGTTAGGTAGAAGCTACACACCTTGACCATTTCTGCAGCATTTTTTTAATTCACCCTGCCTGTGAAGGGAGCATTGTACAACATGAAATGAAAATACACTAAAACAAACAAAAACACTCAGGTGTAATTGTCTAACTGAGGTTGGAGCCTGGGAAAGTAGAGCCGGGCTGCTCATCAGACTCCTGGCGGCTGACAGCGGTGAACAGAGGTAAACGTCAATTAAGCCGTTACAGTAGATGACAGGCCTAAAGAAAACAGCGCTGAGAGATGCCATCTGGGGCAGCCTGTGTAAACTGAAGGTGTCTGAACACGATGCTTCAGATATGGCTAAAATGTTAGCAGCTTTAGACTTGTCAGCTTAACATGAAGAGGCATGAGGAAGACTGTAGGTAGCCTGTATGTAACCTATAGGCTGCCTATTTATGAAATAGAAGTATTATTTGTATTATCTCTCCACATTTCTTATTGTAGTGGATTTTAAGGCATACCGGTTTCATGTGGCCAACATGCAGGCTTGGAGGTGTTTCTTACAGCTTGGTAGGTCACCTGTATTTAGCCCTAATGCCTAATAATGCCACTTGAATGGCATTTGTATCCAGGTAGTTTGAGCTTACAAGCTCTTATTCTGCAGCAGCCCACCACACAGAAACCTAGCTCCAGTAGTGGATTTATTTTACTCCAGAGTGCATTTTCACAGCTTTTGTTTCTGTTTGAAATGCTTTATGTAGTCCAGTAATGGACCTCAGAGTGCAAAATGGCAAGAGATGCCTCCAAACATTTACATTTCAGTTCTTCAACAGGCGCTACAGATCATGACCTACAAAGGGTTCAGTAGTAGAAAGTACAACAAGCTGACAGATAAACTGTATTCTTTAGAGATGTTATATATTTTAAGATGGGGTCTTCTATCCAATAAATGCATAGGTCTCTCCAGATCATACCTCACTTCCAATTTCAAGGTCCATGAGATCGTGCTATTGATCTTTTCAGCATGCTTAATGTGTAGAAATTGATTTGGAAGGAGAACATCTCAGATCTGTGTTTTGTTTTCATCCTTCTTTAATAGAACTTCAGAGAGCAGGAAGTGTGTGCGTCATGAAATTCGCCCTGGTTATCTGCTTTCACACGCTCTGGCCAGCCGCCTGCCCTCAAACAGCACCAAGCCTCCAGTATGAGAGGGACTGACACACAACTTCATAAAAGTAGATCCACCCACATCATATGTGCAACAGACACCAGCGATGAGCCTGTGTGAATGTCTCTTTTCGCCTATTCTTCAGCATGCAGACAAAAATGAACACAAGCAAGTCAATGTTCTCACACAAAGCCCGAGACAAATGCATATACTTCTTCACATTTTGCACCGTGCAAACACGTGAATAAAATTGTAGTGTATCAAAAGTCAATAAATGTATTTGGCATCATTTTGCTGACCCACACAGATGTTTTTAAGCTGATGTGAGGTGTTTAGAGCTCAGCTGAGATGGACGGTGGTGCATCTTGTTATGCAGAACTTCTCGGGCCTTAGGTGAGGGTGAGAATGTGTGAGGTCACACCATGTGACCTTTAGCTGAAGCTGCTGGGCCGCCATTGGTCCAGAGCCAAACCCCCAAACCCTCAAGCACCCCCCTCCCCCAGACCCACAGCAGCACTAAGAGCTCAGACAAGTTGTGTGTTTGCAAGTAGACTCTTCTCTGTGGCTATTATCCTACATTTATTCTGAACGCATATAGCGTGTTTAGTAGAATAACATGAAATACACCGCTCAAAGCATATGTTAGAAATAACAGAGCAAGGTGTTTTCTTTAGACATGCAGATCATTAAAAAGCAAATATACCTGCCTGTGTCACTACAGACTGTCTTATAAATGCAATTGTTGCTTAGCAACCTACACATTACTGAATTTCCCTTTTCTATATAAATAAAGTTTGATTTTATTTCTAGTCAGTCAGGATCTTTCCATTTTGAAAGCTGCCTGGTCTTAACCCCTAAGTCCTGCTGTGATTTAATTGTGGCTGTTGATCAGAACCACCCATGCATGCTCTGAAAAATCCGAAATCTGTCTTCATTTCCTATAACCATAACACACAGCTCACACTTTCTGCTGCACATCTTCAGATACAAACACGACCAAATACTAAACTCGTTTTAAAAAAAGCTTGTTTAATATCCTCTTTAGAAGTTAATTCTGGATTTGCATAACGTTTTGAAGAGCACGCATGCAAAACAACACGTTTTCATAGCTGATATATGCAATTATAAATTAGGTCATTATAAATGAAGCTTAAATAATATTCGTGTGTGAATTACATGCAATGACTTACTGTTTACCTGCTAAATTAATTACCCTGCATTTGGTTTTAAAACAATTATTAAGAAGTATCCCACTTTTCGTTAATATTCTGTTCCCCCTTGGTTGAAATGCTGCAATGAAACATGCAAAAAAACGTGTTTATTTTTCATAAGAAATGCAATATTTGATTTCCAGGCCTCATTAGCGTAACATTAGAAAACACGCTCCCTGAAAGCTCGCAGCAGCGTTATTACCAAACTCCCAGCCCGCGCTGCATGCATATTGAGAGACTGTTAATTATTTAGATTGGAGGTGTAGCGATACATGTTTGGATATTTGCACTTGCTCGCTTTCTATTTGAATTCCCACAGGAGAGCTGTGTCTCCTCGGTGTGTTACTCCACATTCGGATTGTTTTCTCTGCTGGCGGAACGAATCTCACATTAAGATGTAGTAGTGTGCTTTAGGTGTCCGAAAACGGAGGCAGGGCAAATATGATTTTAGCTCAAACGGAGATTGTTTGTTAAAATATGAACTACATATTTTTTAAGTTCATTCACTATATTTCTCAGCTAATATTATGCATGGTTATTCATTTTTTCCTGCTTTAAAATGAGTTTGGTTTGACGCATAAATGACACTGCAGCGTCTGAATTTAGAATATTACTTTCAACTAAAAACGTGAGCAGAATTTAAGTAGCCATGGTGTAAAACAAAGCCGATTTTGTGACATTTCTCTGCGAAAATCTATAACATAAGTGAACATGCAGCTGTAAAGCTAAAAAGCATGCTGTTTTCCATGTAAACTGTAATACGCTCTTACCTTGTGCAGGCTGGAGAGAGGCTAAAGGTCTGCTGTCCTGCGCGCCGTTTCAGCCAAATGAACACTTCCCTCCTCTCTTCAGGTCATCCTCTGTTCACATGTTGATTGTGTGGATGTGTATTAGGAATGCAGACTTGCGTATTCGTCTCAGCAGCAGCCGAGACTTATCCCCTGTCAGCTGATTATTGCTCCTCGTCAGCGACTCCATCAAAGGTGACACTTTTTTTTAGCGATAAAGTCTAATTGTGTAGTTAGAGTTCAATAGTTCAGGCTGCAGGATGTGCACTGCAGCTCGGATTTTTTTGTATTCATGGATGTAAAATCCATGAAGAATGCTCTCGTGTTTATTTATTATTTTGTTGCAAAAAACATTTGGACTGATTTATCTACTAATAATAACCTTCCCTTTGGGGATGAATAAAGGCCTCTTTAAGCATGATATTAAATCAGCTCCTTTACCAACGGACAGGTTTTTTTCTTAAATATCATAGTTTATATGGTATTGAATGATTTAATAGAATACCAACAAAGATCAACATTATGAGGATGAAATATTACCGAAACTCACCCGGCAAACCAAAAGGCGTAGGCTACTTTTTTATTTGTGTGTTTTCTTTGGGGATTGTAACGGTGTCTCCTGCTTGTAGCCACGAATCTGCACCCGTCCCCCGCCTGCCCAACATACCTCTTTATCGGTGTGTTTGAGTGTCTGTGCGAGTGTTTGCTTAAGCTTGTAATTCATCGTTGTCCTAGACCGTAGCTTTGCTTTGGCTCATTTGCGCACTATAAAGCATGGCTTCAAAAGTGCCCAATTACAAAGAGAGGGACAATTCAAACGCAAACAGATAGTGTGAGTCAGTAGGCTGCATAAAGATAATTAAAAAGGGAGCAACGCTTGTTATGAACACAACTTCTAAACAATATATGTTTGAGTTATTTATATTTCACACATTGTATAGATCATCTTCATGGATTAATACGAATGTAGTAAAGAATCCAATAATTTATTTAAAGCTGTTTATTGTGAACGTTTCCATAATAATCCCCTTAAGGGAACTACAATCTCTCCTGAGTTCAAACACTGGAAGAAATAACAAACCCTAATGGACTGTTGTCGCCATTGTGTGGTCCCCCTCCTGTTTGTTGATTCCCGTGTTATTTCAAGCCCCAGTGCCCATCTTGGCCGGGCAGGCAGACATGTATTCAGCAGTTAATCTGACGGAGCATCTCGCCAATGTGTATTGGAGCGGCCATTGTTTTCCTCTATAGATTAGCCGCACAAGCACCTCACATAATCGAAAGGCTATAGACAGACTGTCATTGCTTTACACTCCACTAACAGACTACCAACACAAAGATTCAATAACATCAGAATGTTTTTGAACAATATATTTACTTCCATTAAATAAAACACAATAGTTTTTTTGGATGTTGAAAAAAAACAAACATAATTCCGTACCAAATAGTATACACAGAGCAAAAAACCAAATAATTTGTCGCAGGAACATTTTTGATGCTTCTTTTTTTTTTTTTATCCAGAATTGCTATTCTAAGTCGATATTCACACAGACATTAATAATAAATTTATAATATGTTAGAAACACACAACTGGTGCGTTTTAGTATGTACATTCCCTTTTTGTTTGCAAGCAAAACATGATTCCTTTTTAGGTTTTTTTTTTTTTTCACATGCGTTGATAAATTGAACCTGGAGAGGACTGGAGGGTTATAGCGCATTCGCTTCAACAAACAGGAGATGATAATTCAAATATATATACAACCTTTTCAGTCAACAATAAACGTCCAAAATCCACCAGAAAAAAAACCCTTACGAAGAGCTATGAAGAATAAAACAGGCCTTTGGTTTACTGTGGTGCAGTTTGAAGCAGGCCTGGACTCATCAAAGGGGAATAAACCTAAAATCTCCCGTTTCAGTTTTGACTCCGACCTGGAGTTTAACTTGTTTCAGTGGTTCAGTCTTCTAGTGCCCTTTTTTGAAAAATGAAAAAGTAGTTGTAGTAGTCTCTTGTTCCTGTGGCCGGCTGTTTGTGATTACCCACACACTGCAAAAAATGACCCCCATAACAAACCAATAGGTCTTGTAATCACCCTAAAAATCAAATGCTTTCCCCAAAAAATAAACGGATGGAATAGTCTCACTTGTTTCTTTAAGGAGTGTGGGGATGTTCAAGAAACAAGTGGCAACAACTTGATGGAAAAAGTGAGAATAATGCAAGTCACAATCCAACAAGAAAAAATCAAGAAATGTCCTGAAACACGTGTAAAAAGTACAATTATCTCACTGCCAGACTCCCTTTAGAGAAAAACAACACTTATAGCGTCACTACACCTATAATGACTTGCTAAGGGGGTCATTGTTTGCTGTGCAGGTAGGTATTAGACTGGTCTGTCCACGGCGTACTGGCAGGCGCTCAGATTAGCGGCCGGATTCTGCACGTATCCAAAACTCGAGTGCTGCTTGGCTTTCAGTCTCAGGCTGGCCAGGCTGGAGTTACAAGTGTCCCTGTACACATAAGGGGGGGTCGGAGGCGCGTAGGGGCACGCCGAGGTGGGCACCCCCGAGTTGAGGGACGGGTTACTGAGGTTGTTCAAGTTATTCAGGCTGTTGAGGCTGGAGCCCGGCACCCCGGTCACCGCCGAAGGAACCATGCTGGAAGTCATGGAGGATATGGAGTTGGGCGGCGAGAACATGTTCTGCGAGGATAAGGGGTTGACATTCATGGAGTTGAAGAAAGGGAAGCTTTTGGTAGATAAAGACGCCGACGTGAGGCCCTTGGCGGCCCAGTTGTTGTACGTGTAGCTCGGGTACATGTCTTCGTAGGGCTGCATGAGTCCATTGAACTGCGGGCCGAAGCCGCTTTTGCAGAGCTCGGCTTGTTGGTTTCTTTCCCGTTTCCTCCACTTGGCTCGCCGGTTCTTGAACCAAACCTAGAGCGAAAGAAATTAGAGAAGGTTAGAAAAAAAATATTTTTGAAATACTTAATTTACTAGCCTCTATATTTATTGAAATAGCCAATATGAGTTCTACATGTAATTATAATTGTTTTGTTGGTGCTAGTGTTTAATTTAAATCCACACGAAGCGTATATTAGTAAATAATATTATGTCTGTAAATCCTTAAAAATATATGTCTTTGTTTTCCTGTGCAGACAATTCTGCCTTGATTCATTTTTTATCTTCGCAGAATACACACTGGGGTCTCACTGCAACATCCTAATGTGTATTCCTCTGCAGCCTGCACACACTCTGACCTTAATCACACAGCACCAGGGCGACAATCGCAAAATACAAGCTTTGCACCTCTTTCACACGAACAGGAGAACACGACTGGTATCTGCCACCGACAAATGTCAACAACCTTAACTGTTAACCACCTCTTAGCGTGTAATTACACTTAATAGGCAAATAACAATTAATTAGCTGATGTTATATTTTATTATGAAATTACTGAACTGATTCAAATGTGCCCAGAAACACAAATAATTTGAAAATGCTTATTTTGCATTATATGATTAGAATTATATGGACAAAGATATACAATCTAATTAAATCGAGCTCGTACCAGGAGTTTATTTAAACAAGAGTCTGATTATTTGTTTCCCAGCTCAAAACTATGTCCTACATTATTTTCGAGAAAATTCAGCCGTGCGTAAAGTTTGGTGTCAGTGCGTAAAAATAAGGAATCATGTATTGGGAGGTTAACCGGGCACTTGGCACAAATTACCCGAAATTACACACACGGATTGTTTTTATTTGTACCCAAGGGAGTACTCACCCTGACCCGGGCCTCTGTGAGGTTGGTCCACACGGCTATCTCCTCCCTCGTGCTCATGTCCGGGTAGCGATTCCGCTGGAAAGTGGCCTCGAGCTCCTGCAGCTGCTGGCTGGTGAAGTGAGTCCTCTGCCGCCGCTGCCGCTTCTTTTTTGGGTCATCTGAAGAGTCGTCGTTTTTATTTTGGTTCTTTTCTTTTTCTGTCAAGAGGAAATAAATTGATTTAGTCTGGGTCAGGCGGATTATGGCCTGTATGCCATAGAGAGGGGGGAAACAATCCTGAATCCATGACAATGTTGGAGGAAATGCTCTGATGCACAATATAAACTGTTTTCTTTGTTTTTTTTACTTCGCTTCATTTTATTTTATTTGAATTCATAATGTTATATTATTATTTAATAGGCACGGATCATATCTATGCCAGGGTAATTTCAGTTGCACAACAAAAGCTCTCTTTACTTTGCATAACACAGAACTTTTCACACCATGAGACAAGTGTCAAAACTAATTACGTGTTGGTCTAATGACAGCGATAATCGCCTTTTTTGCATGCACAATAAACTCCCTATACGTTGATAAATATGAGCCACCTTTTGTTTGATATCGAGATGACATCTGCGGCGCCTTGCTGCAAACATCTGCCCCCCCCAAGCGGTTCTTACCGACAGACTCCGGACTGGACGTGTCCGACACAGTGTGCACCTCTAACCGGTGTTTAGAGTCCACAGACCGCTGCAGCGGCTGTAAAGTAGAGGCCATCGCCAGAGCCGTGTGGTGCGTGGAGGCAAGTTTATTCCCTGTAAGGTGGTGATGGTCTGTGTTTAAAGGATCCCTCATAGAGTTCATTGGCGGAAGATCGCAAAACTGGCTGTCAAAAGCAGAGTAAGTCCCTCTAGTACAGCAAGGATAAGCGGAAAGTCCGTCTGCGGAATTTGTTCGGTTCTCCAAAAAACGCGCACCAGAACAGTCCCTCTTGCGGTTGAGATAAAACCTTCTTTCTGTTAAAACTGGAAAATGCTTTAAAATAGGCCATTGAGTGCTGCCATACTAGCTCCGGCAGTAAACAGTGGCTACCTCGGCTGACTATCAGAGTGACAAGGACAGGTAGGTGATATTAGATCCAGAGGCATACACTACACTGCTCTCTGTTCATTTCAGCTGCGCCTCTCTCCACAGCTCCACGTCACCGAGTTGCGCCCGCCCCCTCTCTGACAGGCACACGCATGTGGATATGACGGTGTGCCCAACCAACCGGAGCTCGCAGAAACGAGATCTGTGTGCCAATGTGTTTATGCCGGAGCTAGCGCTTATTTTTCATTTCCAAATAAAAGCATGTAAAGAGAGATGGGACGCACGGTGTACCCACGGTGCTCCGTTGCGCAGCAGCCCAAGACCAAATAAAAATGAAAATAACACAGTTTGGCCTCATTTTATGAGATGGGTCCAGTGGCCCAGTAAAACAATGCAGTTCTATTGATACCCAAGATGAGCCGCAGGCTCCGTCACTGCAGTTTACTCTGGGACTCTTTGTGGATAAAGCGAGCCACCGAGCCGATTGTATTGAAAGCCGTATAAAGAAAAGAGGCACACTGAATATCAAACAATAGACTACTAGCACAATGATCCTGTCAAAAGACATGCTGTTTAAAAAATGTCTAAACGGTGCATGGTTATGCCAAACGTTATCATGTAGACCAAGATAACGGTATCGTTACTTGTGTCAGTATTACCGAAAGGCAAACAAATGCATTGAATGTAAGCATTATCTGTATAATCTTCATAATCTTACTTGAATATAAAGTACAACTTTCTGTGATATCCACTTAGGAAAAGCATTGTCATACTACTTGTCAAATGAGACGATCCTCTGGCCCTCCCCAGAGTTGACGTTCAAATACCCATTAAATGAACCCCACCGGAGCGCAGTTACCAGACTCAGGTTGTTGACGGCGGATTACTTTATCTGGGTGCTTAACTGGATCTCTCTCCCCACTTTGCGTTTGGACCCCTCAGTCTTTCCCAGCCAGCACTCCTGTAGTGTTTTTTCTTCTAATCTGATAAGACTCTCATTTGCCTAAGAATTTCTGAAGGAGGACTTTTAATGAGTTTGAGTAGATATGCCAGCACATTTCTTTAACCTATAACTCCCCAAGGATTTAATGCGTAAAGGCAAAGTAAACGCGTCTCATCAAACAAATGCGGGTTTAATTTTCAAGGTGGGAGATTCAATCAATCAAATCAATCACATTTTATTTATACAACCGTATCCCAAATTATAAATTGGTCTTCGGGGACTTTACAATACAGCATGTCCGTAGACCCTTGCAGGGAAAAACCGGTGGATGAGAGAGATATGTCAGCTGCATAACAGGTGATGGAGAGAGGACACGTCCACGCCAATTAGTGCGGTCAATTCCACTGGAAATGAAAAATGACTTTTTCATTTTTCATCTTTCATCTTTTTTCTAATTCCATTTCACGATTGCTTGATTACCCTCCTCACTAACACACTTCCCATCTCCACGTGTCCAGGCGGACGCCCATTCAGCCAGCACATTTGGACTTGGCGCTGTTAAGAAGTTATGGGCTAATCCCGTGAAAGCCCCTGATGTATAAATACCAGCAGACCATAGACAGAATTCAACATACACACAGACACACACATGCACACACGCACAAGCGTATACTCTGCGGTATAGGGACTAGACATTATTAAAACATATGGTAGCCAAAAGCGTCTGAAAGTGCATTATAACCTTGTTTGGAGGACTAAATACTTTGGATTTTAACTCATAATCATCATATGCAATGTTTTTGTCATTATTTGTATAGGTAAACAGTAGGCCTCTCACAACGTTTCTAAAAATTAACCAAAAGGCGTTTTTAAAATGAGTACTTGTATATTAAAATATTATATGGGCTATTTTATTATGAATAATGTTGTGCATTAGATATATTTGATTGTAAAAATAAAACATTTTACATTTCAAAATAAGGCTGTTTGATAAAAAACACAACAATACTAGAACAATATTTTCCTCGTCTTATTTTAAACCTAGCAGCGAACACTGTGTTGCTCCTTTTTTCCTTTACGCCGTATTGTAATACTAAACTTGAAGTGGATTATCGGTTTCCTCTTCATTCCTACCTTCTGAATGCTTTATCTCTCTTCTGTGGATTACTGCGCGCAATAGGCCTCCGCCATTGAGGGCCATTAATTAGCAATTCAGTCAATATAGGGGGAGACGACAAGGCTTTTTACATAGGATTAAGGGGACATCAGATTCCTCCATTAGTATATTCCTCCTCACGGATGGGCTTTCATTATACATTTAGTTTTCCCCGGAGTCAATCCAACAAGCGCTGCATATATTACAGCAAAACATTTGGCGCTGGTGTGTCTATCTGTGAGCATCCCTCCCCTCCATGTAATTCTGTTTTTATTTTAGTTATCCTATTATTCCTAATCGATGGTTGTTCACATTGTGCAGCCGAGGAGCTATGATCATCCTGCCCTCTGCCACATACAGCCCCATCAATGTCGGCTAAATGAAACGGAATGAGACTTATTGGTTATTCGTTTAAGACCCTAACAAGACTTGATGTAATTTCCCTTTCCACATTGGAGAATAATTAATAAATCCCAGACTTTGTCGAGCATGGGATTTAAGCTTTTGTTTAGTCTCTTTTTTTATATTTTTTATTTGTAGTTGTTTCTGGTAATATGATCAAAATATCCACATTGTTTGTCGTTGTGGACAAGCACAGCCTTCCTGTGCCTAATGCAAGTACATGTTTAATTTCATGGTCATATATGACAATATTAATTTTCCAATAACTAACGTGGCTGCAGAGCTGCATCCTGATCAAATAATCGGATGATGCTCTGAAGCTGCAGCTCCACTTTCTACCACCAGGTGTCCCTCTAACACAGCACACACCACGGACTCACACAACTTCTCACACCGACGAGCAAAAGAGGCCAGAATAGTAGGCTACCAATCATTTTGGAACAAACTAGTAACATCCACTACAAAAAGTCCAAATAAAACAGCATGTTATCATCATCTCAGAGTACTGAACTGCGAGTTGAAAATGGGATATTATTTTGTGAGACATTAACGTTATTTTGCCTTTTTAATTTAAGATAGTAAGGTTGTTTTAAGAAACCTCGAAAAACTATTAGCTCACCAAATAGCTACTAAAACAGAACAGCTCAGGTTTTAGGAAGCGTATATCCGTGTTTAGGCCACTTTTGAAAAAATAAAAATAATGATGTTGATGAAAAAATATATTAGCTGTAAATAATAAGTAGCCTACTGTTTGAAAGGCAGCAGACACGTTGACCTTTAGCCTGCATTATTGTCAACAGCACCGTTCTGTGTAAATAGAAAAACATAAAATAAAATACTTGTAGGCCTATGTAAAATGCAAAAGATAATAGATCTATTTTACTAATGACCAAACACGTTTTATTTTTACTTCGATCTGTTGGAATTGTGATGGGTGATGGATCAGATACTCACCTATTTGCGCGCAGGTGGTGGCCAGTTTGCGGCAGTGGGAGTCCATTATGGCAATTTAAGGAAACCGCTTCTGGAACAACAGACAAAAGAGACATAATTAGCCTTTAAGTCTGGTAAACAACCCCGCTGTGTTGGTCACTGACATCCAACTCTACTTCTGCAGTCAATACTTTCTGGAGTCAACAGAAGACTAAAAGGAATAGTGGTGTGCTCAAAGGATAAATATCAGATTACAAGACAAAAGTGATGGTGGTCTTGAGGAAAGATTTCAAATGGATGGAGAGAAAAAAAAATCAGACATTCAACGAGTGTGATAGCAGGCTCAGTAAAGATCATTATAATGAGGTAAATGCTTTACAAATGACATCAAGTTCGGATTTCATTGATGATTTCTTTTTAGTGAGTCTTATTCACATGTCAAAGTCTGTTTTTTTTTGTAAGAATGAGGCAGTGATTCACCTATTTAAAGTTTAATTAACACGAGTCAGGAAATAACTGCCAATATTAGAACATATAGCAGAAAGTGACTTAGTGACTTATCTCTGAATTTTAAAAAAAAGAAGCAAATACAATAATTTGTGTAGGATTTGATTCAGGAAAAATAGGAGTCAAACATTCCTATTTATTGCATGTTATGTATTATTTATTTTTTCCAGCGTCAGATTTATTTTTGTGCAGTCTGAAAATATAAAACCTTCCGTGTTGTGCATGAGCCGGGTCTTGTGTTTTGGTGCAGCCTGCAGAGGAGAATGAAGTGATTCCGCAGTAAAATCACGGGATTACAGTCTGATTGAGATGTCTGTCGGTGGGATATTACAAAATTCATTATCGCAGCCCTCATACTACCTCGATATGAAGTTACACAGATGGGGTTTTATTAGTCCAGGCTCACACTGTTTGTTTATGATAATTCAACTCGGGGGGAATTTGCATGCAGTCATGCTGTTAACCATTTTCCTCAGCTCTTCCCTTCACCTGCTCTACATCCTCTGCGAGCCTTTTTTTCTCCTATTCAGAAGATGCAGATATTGGAGGTTAAGTTTTACTGCGTGTACCGGCACAACCTTTCTTCTCATCCATCCTCTACATCCCCACTGCAAAATGAAATAGTGGGGGTCAGCCTGTAAGGTGTAAGGTTATTGCACGCGGCTCAGTGTTATCTAATCAGTGAGATTTAATGAGGGGCTCCTTCCAATATTTCAGCCTGCTGGCTGCTCCGCGGCCTCTGAAACCACAACCGGTGTTATTTATGCATTTCACTGTATTTTATTATTACTGTGTAAAAAAGAATGGTGTAAAAAAAAAAACTTATTTTCTACATTGATTTATTCCCTATTTATTTCACGTATCTCTTATTTTTGTAAAGGCATGTATTTCGTTAACATGTACATACAACTACCATTTAAAAAGAAAAAAAAAGTTGTCTATATTATGAAATGCATTTACATGTTAGTAAAAAAATCATATGTTGCTAGTTTAAAAACGCATATGGGGCAAATAGACATAATGCACAGCTTTTAACACAGCTTTTAATAGAATTGAGGCCTACAACATTTATAATAACACAATACTTTCAGGAAATGAATCCTCATTATACATATTTAGTGCTGTTTTTTTTACTTTACCACATTGAAGTACAACTATGAGCGTTTTAAAGAAATAGCTGCGTTCATTTCATAATTACTCCTATTAATCCCGTTCTTCCATTCATTCTCACTGCACCGACCTCAGCACCAACAGTTGATGTGAATCAGTGACTCACGTGGCACGAGGCCCAGTGCAGACAGAAAGCTGGCATTGCCTCGCACTGGCTTTACTTCTGAAATTAACACCGTGCAGCATGAGAGAGCAGCCTTTACCGGGAGAAGCTAACCTCCACCATATGGTCCCATATTAATTAAAGAAGCGAGACGGTGAACGTCGCCTCTTTTTTACCCAAATGCTTTTCTTCCTGTAATGCAAAACAATTCAAAGGAGGGTCGAACTCATCTGAACTCATGATACTCCTTTCGATTAACAGGGTTATTTAAACTTTGCTTTAAGAGCTTACTCACCATTTTATTTAGGCCAGTGAAGGAGAGTTAATACTTTTTGTTGTTAGGTTCACCCACACTTTTACGTGCATTTACGCAAACATTATTAATAACTTTAGAGCAACAAACTGAACTGAGACTGAGTCAGGCACGAAATATACTTTCAATTGACATTATTTCGTACAAAATGTTGCTAATCAGAAGATTAAACTACGTGACCATTTTACGAAATGCACAAATGTCTATTTATTTCAGATATTTTTATTTATATTTAACTATTTACTTATGAATTTCACAAACGGTAATAAATACAGTTTTACATGATTCCGTTTATTTTATTTCCGCGCACTCCATCACCGCTAATGATACATCATTATCATCTGGCGACCTGTAAGGCGAACCCTGCCCTCACAGCACTTCATGCTGCTTTCTGTTACAGCCATGGCTTTGAAATTCCGACAGAAACACACCGAGCAGGCAAAACACGAAGTGGAACAAATCCATTCACTTGCATTAACTCACAACTCAGTTTTATTTATTGTAGGCTAGTGCCTCTGCTCCTCCTCTGCTGCACTTACCAGTTGTAGACACCGGTGGGTTTGTCTGTCCCAGCCGTCGGCGTTTTATTCTATATGGAGATAATTCCACCGTCCAAACACACTCGGACACCAGGAATTGTGTTTATAGCGAAAATACAGGAAACTGAGGTCCAGTATAGCTTAAATCTAAGTTTCTGTCCGGAAATGTGAGTCTGGCGTGGATGTGGCTCCCCGCTATGTTATCCAAAAAAAAGACGCAGTGCTACCTTTTAGGATAGTTTCATTTATGCGCATAAATAACCATCTATTTACGGTGCGAGTAGAAATAGCGAAGGAGGTGCTTTCATCCGAGTCTCCCCTTGGTTCGTCCTCTTCTGTCTTCCTTAACTTTTCCCCCCTTGAAAGACGCTCCAGTGGCGCATTTTTTTCCTCCTTCTTTTGAGCTCAGAGGGACCCCGCGTGTGTGTGTGCCTTTTTAAAGGGGTGTGTTTGTGTATGTATGCGCCTGTGTAGTCTAGCAGAGGGCAAACTTGGAGCTTCTCAACTTTCAACAACAATCAAACAAAAATTCCGGATGGCATCTTTAAAAAGCACACGCATGTTAAAGACAAATAAACAAAACACTGATATTCCTGTCAGCCCTCCCCGCTGCGTTTACTGTAACATTACACCATGTGAGGTGCAGGCATGCAACACATATAATGCTTCAATCTACCTCACCGCAATTTGCAACAAGCAACTCAAATGCTTATTATCTAAACTCAGCGTGCGCAAAATAAACAACCTTCATAAACACGAATTCATGACTAAACCCACTTACTGGCAGTTCATTTAAAGAAATGCTGTATTTAAAGTCACAGCTACGGATTCCTATGGCAGGCTATTATGTAATCAGCAAATTAGAGTCCAATTATTGCCCAATTAGCATATTGTTTGCACTAATTTAACACATTTTTAGAAACACAATATTTAGGATATTGAGAGTAAAACAGAAACGTATAGGCTATTTAAATGTCTGCATTATAGGCTCCTCCAGGGCCAGACATAGCCCTATCGTGTTGCGGATTTATGTGCAGATGAAGTGAACAGCTGGCTCGGATGCAAATGTTCTTTATAGATCCGTTTCGTTGGATACAGACTGATTTTCCATTTCGCATTTTAAGTGAGGCGAGCAGACCGGACGTAGGCCCGCGTTCCCTGCGCCTAATCCGTCTTTTACATTTTTAGTCATACTCCCATTAAACCAGTAATTAATGCGCACGTACACACGGGAATTTGCAGGCAATCGGGGACACTGAAGCAAAGCAAGCGCATCATCCAAACCTCCACCCCCCGAACTAAATTAGGTGTATGTTTGGATCCTTGTATCCCAAACAATGTGGTGATATAATACATGCTTACTGCTGCCTTTTAAAGACTTATAAAGGAGGAATTATGAAAGTAAATATTTTAATAGCTGGTCAGGTTTATTTAGTCAAGAGGACAGATATTAAATAAAATCAGTTTAAGCACAGATAAAATCCTCTTCTACAAAGGCCCAATAAGGCCATATTTTATTAATTTTCCACTTTCGTAAGCACACGTGTGGAGAGAGGCAGCGAGAGAGCGTTGGGTGAAATGCAAACCAATATAGGAACAAATAAATAAAAATGTAATATTTGCCAAAACAGCTCGCTTAGTGCTTCAATTTCTGACCCGTGTCTCCTCATATTAGATGTTGTGATACGGCACACAAACATGTGCACACGCAAACAAAACGCAAGTAAACGACCCCTTTAGCCCGTGCAGAAAACATCCACCCTGCACCATGCATATGTTCACACAGCCCCGCCTGCCCGGGATGAAAGGAGGCTGAGCGGCGTCTGGAGAGGCGTGATGCTTCGGCTGTATTCTCCTCTTACCTTCTTATACAAAGAAAAAAAAAATTCCGTCAAGAGCCTCCTCTTTCTCACGCAGAAAGGTGCAGAGGAATGCCTGAAGTTCAGAGAAGGCTGGCGGGTATGAAATCTTTCGCCTCGGGGGCAAACCGGCGGCTTCTTTTCATTTCAAGCGCTTATCGATTCTCCGTTGTCATCTTTGGCGACGCAGAAGGACACTTGAAAGAATTTCTGATGGGGCTGTGATGTGAGAAACGGGGTGACCTGCTCTGCTGGTGCTCTCTCCTGCCTCTTAACGAGCACATCAGTACAGTTGGACATTTCAACTTTCCCCCTGCTGCATACTGGAGAGGACTTTAAAACACTCTTTGCTGTTTTCAGTGTGTATCAGCACGAAACCACTTTAAAGAGGAGAGGTGATAGATTGCCCTGCAACTCCAACAACATCAACAACAACAACAACAACAACACATACACAATCTAAAACTGATACCATTGAAGTTATTTTTTGTGAGAACTTTTTATCTAGAATGAATTAGCTTTTTTTGCTAATCATTTTCTCTGTGATTGATTCACACCCCTGCAGACTTCAGATCATCTTATGCATATTATTCCTCCGGCCATTATTAAGATCTGTTAGGCCTATATCTAATAGTTTAAGCAACTAAATATAAAACACGTATTCCTCACTATAACCTGGAATGCATTCTCTGCAGAATAAAGCCGTATATCTCCATGAGTGATGACTGTTTTGAGACATTTTAATATTTTTAATATGGGCTCTGTTGTGTGCCAAATTTCACTTCAACTCATTAGTCTCATTGTGAAATTAGGGCCTATTTATTTCCTAAGAGTTATTTTTTTATGCAGCCTTCATACAATTAGGAATGAATTAAATCAGACAGAAACAAAATGAGCTTGTCTCTGATTTTTCCCCTAATACCCTGACATTCAAATGAATTTCTATAGGCTGTCAATAGATATGAATCTTAACCTTTTTCCCACTGCATTACATACACACGTCCTGTCATCTCGATGCACTGGGCAGCTTGAGTAATGCAAATGTGAAGTGGTTCCATTATTCAGGGACGCTCTTTTACTGAGAAACCATGCAGCCTTTTTCTTTTTTTCTTCAGTTGAAGCCTCAAACCACATACGATTGTCGCCTAGTGTTCTGTCTGGCCAACACTCTGTGGCCATGTAATAGAATTTGGAGTCGAATTGGTGTTTCCAAAGCCACAAATCTTTAAACAAATCAGTTTATGTACTGCTAATACGTTAGAAATATAGTAATGGCTTGGAATGTAGTTTTATTGTGGGGTGTGACTCCACTACGAATGAAAGCAGGATGAACATGGAGAGTAAGAGTGGAGATGAAGAGAGGAGAGACAAAACATTAGATAAGTCTTTCTCCGTCGAGACAGAAATATCCTGTGTGTATTTCAATTTGTCAAGTATCACTCCAAGAACGTTATTAGCGAAAAAGCTGCCTGTAAATTAACCAAATTAAAAGGGTGGCTCTTTGATGGCTCTTGAGCTTGTTGAGCGGCTTTACGCCTGATCCTTACTATTCCAGCTCTGTCACAGTACCAAAGGGAGAGAAGCTACACCAACGCTAAGCACTCCAACTCAGCAACATGGCTTTGTGGTTTCCAACGTTATACGCAAGGCCAGTAAAAGACTTAGACTATACCTCACTTCTCCCAACATGCTCGGCTAACATGGTGTATATTTAAAAAGTACTCAGCTCCTTGTCTGTGTCTTCTTCTGTAATTATCCTATCCTTGGCTTCCAAAGAAAATGCTCAGCTGATGTCATTGTGGTTTTGGCCCCCCGACTGCTCTAATATTAATCCCGTGCATGAAGCGGCTTCAAATAAATAAGGATTACTTTGAATTAAACTCTGGTTCATGTTTTCATGTGAACACATTAACTCCTGTCATTGCTGGTCAGTCAGGCTGCCTCCATTCCTCTTGACTTTGGACATGACATGGCTTTGGTCAAGCGTGATTAAAATTGTCCCTGAGACTCGGACGGCATTCATTACTCTGACAGCCGCAGACGGGCAGCACAGCAGCGCGTTTATGGCACGTGGTTGATCTTGGGGAAAGTAATAGTCGGTGCATGCATAAACACATGCGGCCTCAGCCTTAATCACAGGTGCGAGCGGGCCAATAAATTGCTCAAGCAGGTCTCTGATCAATTACATGAAAAATCAATGGGAAGCTGCCACTAACCTGCCTAAGGGGAAATCGGCCAAGAATGAAATTGGTGTGATAAAATGACTATGATGCCTCCCTCCCCGTCGATAACATGTAAAACAGTTCAGCTACATGTTAACTCTCCTGTCAGCAGACCCGAGGAGGACCCAAAGGTCACAACTGGAACCAGCTTAGTCCTAATTGGTCTACTGTGGCAGAGAGAGGGGGCATGAGGAGAGGGAAGGGAAGGAGCTGGAGAAATATGGAGGCTGATTGAGACAGTGGAGAGTATAGGTTGGGGGAAATGTGGGTAATAAACCTTCAAAATGTATGTGCTTAAAAAAAATATATATAGAAAACATTGTTGTAGAATCAGTTCATTCACTTTTTCTGGTGCGTTCAACCCCGTGTTATGCTCTTCTTTAGTGCATGGAGTTGGCTTGGTTATGGCTCAGTTGATCCACACCTCATAAACAAATCTGTTAATGTTCACACAATCAAAATTCAGTACTTGGGTCACGTGATGACAACAAGTCATGGAAAATAAGAAACATCTATCAGATGATACAGAATTTGAGATGAGATTGAAAGCTCCTCAAAAATCTAATAATGGGACTCTGAGTTAAGATTTGTTTGTTTAAATACATATATCGATATCTAAAATGGAAACATTCCCAAATTGGCAATCTTGCACTTCAATTTTTTGCAGCATGGCGAGCTGTCACGTGATGTCTAATAACTGAAGACAACATAAAATAACGACAAATATTGAACTAGATCAATCTTTTTAGTCTTTTACTGCCTTTGACAATTCATGAGGACTGCAAACCTGATTAAAGTAACTTGGAGAAACTAACATGACCAGAGAAGTTTGGATAGATGAACAGAGAATGTCTGAAACATGATACAAAAAGATAGACATAAAATGTAGTGAAAGGAAGAGATGCATTTGAAAAGATTGAGGTTAAAATTAAGCAAAGGCGAGAGAATAATATGGATGATCCGAAGATGTGTTTGAAAAAAACAGCAACATGCATATCAAGAAGACCCCCCCCCAAAAGGTATAAAGGCTGACGATAAAGAGAGGCAGAGAAATACAGATGGAGGGAGGGAGGGTGGCTAATCTGAAATCAGGATGCTGGTCCCATGTCTCGTGTTCTCATTAGTTCCAGTGTTTCATGCTTGTCTCTGCTTTTCATGGAGCCTCATCGCCTGGCTGAACTCTACGGTCTACGAGTGTTTCACTACAACACAATGACCAACCCCATGCCATCACTAGACGAGAAGTGACACATGAAAAG